TTTACCAAAGAATAGTGGGATTGACCGTCACATTATAATGCCCCCACGGCTGAAAGGGCGAGACGAGTTTTTGAAAGAGTTATATGCCTGAATGAGATAGACTTTAAAGAAACATGCTCAAATATAACTAGACAATTTCACTTACTTCAAGGAAAGCATATGGTAAGTAAAGTATTAACCAAATTTTTTGTTCATGTTTTAGAAAATATATGCTACCAAATTTCTTTGTTATCATCAACAAGCGTTTTGAACTTATTAAGAAAACAAAATATTATACAGTTTTAAAATCCTAACAAAAATCTCCTTGTATTAATTTTTCTGACTCCTGAATAAACAGTTCTTGAATAGCAATTATCTGGATTCTTTTAAGAAAACTAATAACAACGGTAACACAAATCAAAAATGATATCAAGAAACACACAACCAAGATGTATGTATTTCCACTTTAAAGGAAACTGTAAACTTCAACGTGAAATCTTTATTTTTTTCCTGCTCCTACTTCTATATAAATAATTAGTTTAAGTTAATGAATTAAACATCAATAATTTTATATTTTTACAGCCATATCAACGCCAAACTAAAAAAAGAAATCAATCAGGAAAAAAATATTTTCAAAAGCCTTTAAAGGTAATTAATAACAAGTCGTTTATTTAAACTAACCATTCGCACAGAATCAAATTAGTAATGTTTAGTTGCTACTAGAAAAAAAAAACAAAAAACACTCGACATTTCAAAATTTATAATAGGGCAGTTCAATTTTCGGTATAAGGTACAGAATACAATGTAAATGACGTTAGGATGCGAATAATATTTCATCGCTGCATCTGACTTATATTATTACAAATAGTGTTTGACAACAAAATGACATTCCCGAAGAAATTACTGGCAGTTATCATGCAGAACAAAAACTACGTTTCCCAAAACTAGTGAGTCAGAATGATATCAAAAGAATTAAATAAATACAAAAAAAAAAGGAACGCCAATGGTAAAATTTAACTCCATAAATAATATGACTGTCAAATCTTTAGGGTATATAAAAGTCTGTTCATTGGTGATCAATCAAGAATAAATAACGGCTCGTAGTATTCAATACTTATTATTCAACGTGTTTTTGTGTTCTTATTGTAGTTGTAATGTTGAAATGGACACACCGTATTTTTAATGAAATCTTTCTTTGTTTGGAATTCCCTGTCATCCATCGGGAGGCATCAAGGACTGTGTAATGCTAATACTACATAAAACACACAATATCATCACTAGTGCATATAGACATTTGTCAAAAATTATACTTTTGACAAGCGCTAATACATTAAGACTAGACCCATCAAAAGAATGAAAAGAACAGAAAATCAATGAAAGATTAAAACATTTTACCAGAGTAAAACACTGCAAACTAACGATTATTATTATTTTTTTTTGTATTTCGTGACGAAGTTTCTAATGCTGTCTGCCACCGTACATAATTTTAAACTACTGACCAGAGGGAAGGTAGTCAGTCTTGTTGGTCTGTTGTTAAGCGCAAAGTTACACAAGGGGTCATCTGTGTTGTGCCCACTGCGAGTATCGAAACTCGGTTTTTAGCGGTGTGAGTCCTCAGTCAGCAGCACCCTAACACAGAGCCACAGACTAGACACAGAACAATACTGAAAGAAATAAAAATTATCTCTAAAGATTGTTCTGGTTCCGATACTAAAAAAATAAGGTAATATTCCAACACTAACACGTATTTTCTGGAATAATATATTTGTGTTTATATATATATATATATATATATGTGTGTGTGTGTTTCTTGAACTTCACAATTATGTTTTGGCCACCTACTTTTTATATAAGTTTAAATGAAAATACCTCACTAATAAAAATACGTGCTGGTAAAATATATATATATATATATATATCCTTCCCTTTTTCAGTCTGATTGAACAATATAACAAACAAAAAGCTACTCTATTGTAATATTGGAATTGTGTACAGATTAATTATAGAGTTTGTTATATCTCCTGGCAACAAGTTTTTATATCATGGCTTTGTTTCTTCTCCCTCTCCTCCCTCCGTGGCTCAATAGTAAGCTTATAACGTTCGATACTCGCGGTGAGCACAGCGCAGATAGCCTGTAGTGTTTCCTTGCTTTTAAACACAAACAAACAATTATTCTTCTATTTTTAATTGATTAGGGCATTCGGCTCGCAATCTACAAGGTCGTGAGATCAAAACCTGGTGCTGAACATGTTCGCCCTTTCAGCCGTGAGGGTGATATAATGTGACCATCAATCCCACTATTCGTTAGTAAAATGGTAGTTCAAGAGTTAGGAGTGGGTGCCGGTTGCCTCCTTTCTTGTCGGCGGTTCAAAATTAGGAACGACAGCAGACAGCCTCAGTAGCTTTGCCATGAACAAACAATCTTCCTGTGACGTTGTTATTTCAACAGATCTACTAGAAAGAATCAAACATTACTGGTAAATAAGTGTACAAAATATAGAATGTCCCAGTTTTCATAATCAATAATATTTATACAGCCTTAAAAATATTACAATATTACAACCAATAAACTTAACAAAACATATAAACTTTAGTGCATGCCTTGAATTTAAATCAAACAGAATTTAAAGAATGAAGCACGAGCAATTAAAATTTAGAGAAAGCTTTAATGACCGGAAGATGCCTTAAACCGACCATACAATTTTTTTTTATAATTCTTGTTGGTCAAGATAACTCCACTTATTATGGATCAATTACGATTGAGCTTTGTTGATGACAGCGAACTCTCGCACAAATATTCTTTGTTTCGTTTGTTTGTTTTGAAATTTTTGCTCAAAGTTACACATGGCTATTTGCGCATACTTAATCCTAATTTTGAAGTGATGGACTAGAAAGAAGCCAGTCAACAACATCCACCATCAACTTGTGTGTTACTCTTGTCTGACAGAAGTGTGGGATTTCATCGTCACTCTTATAACGCATCTACGGCTATAAAAATAGCGGAACGTGTTTTAGCTGTAACGGGACGCGAACCAGAATACCTCAAATACACAATCCGGTCGTTTTAGCTATTAAGCCACGCACGGTCTCATAATATAAGAGTCTTACATGTACTTATAAGATGTGTGTGTGTGTGTGTTAAGAGGAAGTAAGGCCCACGCTCGTTTCCTCAGCGACGCGGAATATTATATACACTTCTTCCAGAACCTTAAAATAATCCACCTTTTATTTGAAACTTTTAAACAGCAACTTTAATAGATTTGTTGAAATTTTGAAGTCGATGTGGTGAGACACGACTTAACAGAAACGTTTCTAGGTAGGTTTATTTACTTCGCTATTGTAAAGTTCATACTGATCTCCAGTTACAACTTACCTTACTGACTGCTTAGCTGGCATAACTGGGAATTATCGCATTGTACTTGGACAATCGCCAGACAGACACAAATTACACTGACTGTTTAAACTCATTAGACAGTTGTTCGTTATTTTAAACAGTATAGCGAAGGGTATTTTTGGAGATCATTCCACCGTGACAGTCGGAACAAATACTTAAGTTCAACATGCAACAATCTGAAATTTTAACGTTTTATAGAATGTACTTAAACCAATGTATATATGCTATTTTAGTGGGCAACGTTAATTATTAATGGCAGATATATTATTCAGTAGCCCAAATACTTTAAGTCAGATACTTATCGGGTGTCAGTTTGATGAGTAAGCCAAGTCAGGATAATTCACCATTGAAGGACAGCCTGATGAATAAGTCAGATTACTTTATCATTGAAGAACAACCTTGTGAATAAGTCTGGACAAGTTATCACTAAAAACAGCTTGATGAATAAGTCAGGACAATTCACCATAGAAGAAACAGCCCGTTGAATAAGTGAAGCCAATTCACCATACGAGAACAGCCTGGTAAATAAGTCAGATCAATTTACCATTGAAGATCGAGAGCCTGGTGAGTAAGTCAGGACAATTCACCATTCACGATCAGCCTGGTGAATAAGTCAGGTCAATTCACCATTGAAGAACAGCCTGGTGAATAAGTCAGTACAATTCACCACTAAAGAACAGCCTGGTAAATAAGTCAGGTCAATTCACCATTGAAGAACAGCCTGGTAAATAAGTCAGATCAATTTACCATTGAAGATCGAGAGCCTGGTGAGTAAGTCAGGACAATTCACCATTGAAGAACGGCTTGATGAGTAAGTCATGTCAATTCATCATAGAAAGACAGCTTGGTGAGTAAGTCATGTCAATTCACCATAAAAAGACAGCTTGGTGAGTAAGTCAGGTCAAGTCACCACAGAAAGACAGCTTGGTGAGTAAGTCAGGTCAATTCATCATAGAAAGACAGTTTGGTGAATAAGTCAGGTTAATTCACCATTGAAGAACAGCTTCGTGAATATATAAGGTCAAGAGACCATAGAAACTCAGCAAGATAAACGCGAAAAGGTAAATTACCAGGACAACTTAATTGGTGTACGTACGAAACGAATATTCAAGAGATCTTGATTGATAGAAGATGTATAAATATTAACATACTAACTAGCAGAAAATAATGCAGAGCTCACAAACAAACTTTTTAACGCTTTAGGATTTTGTCAAATTATGCATATCAAGGAAAATTAACAAAGATTTGCAAGAATCATTCAGGCTAATGGTGTAAAGCCACAAAAAATACAAAAAACCTTGTATGCTTTAAAAATTTACCTCGATAACACAGTACAAGAACCGATACAGAAAACCTCGTACATGGTGTAAACCAAAGACAAATCACCACAGAACAGAATTTTTAAAGAATTTATTAGATTACCATGGTGTAAAGTAGGGTAGGGATATGTTATCACAGAGAATTTCGTACATCTATACATAATTTATTAGGTTAACATGCTGTAAAGTAGGGTAGGTATATGTTATCACAGATAATTTCGTACATCTATACATAATTTATCAGTTAACATGCTGTAAAGTAAGGTAGGTATATGTTATCACAGAGAATTTCGTACATCTAATACATAATTTATAAGTTACCATGGTGTAAAGTAGGGTAGGTATATGTTACCAC